CAAAAAAAGAAGAATGTGGTTCTTCAGAGCTGGCCCTTCTGAGAAAGTTTACAAAATTGGAGAATATCATCCCAGGATTAATGAATTCATGTGTGTCATTTTACTACCCCAGAAACTGGGATTTATAAAAGGTAAAGAATTACCAGGAACCCCAGAGCCAGAAGCCATGGTTCTCCACATAGGCTCATAGTTCTGTTCATCAGAGGCCAAGGCATGAGCCAAAAGATGTGATAATTTACATCTGTTGCTGGTTTATATTTCACTTGCATGCCTGTCAATATTCATCTTCTTCCAAGAAGATCTTGGACCATAATATACCTTAAATCTCCATCAACATTTTGATCACCCCAAAGTAAATAAAGGATTACTAGGACTGATGCTGAAGCTGAAACTCCAATACTTGATGCTGGGAGGGATTGGGGGCAGAAGGAGAAGGGGATGACAGAGGATGAGATGGCTGGATGGCATCACTGACTCGATGGACATGAGTTTGAGTAAACTCCGGGAGTTGGTGAAGTTGGTGATGGACAGGGAGGCCTGGTGTGCTGTGATTCATGGCTTGGACACGACTGAACGATTGAACTGACTGACTGACTCCTTATTACACTTACTGATGGATACAAGAAAAATAATTGGGATGCATGCATTCTATATAATATTTGGAGAGGAAGTCCAATATACTCATAATGCAATGTAAATTAAAATGAGATAAAATAATGATACTCTGTTGATCTAGTTAAGACTTTATATTAAATATTTCTAAATTCAACTAGAAATAAAAATATTCAGAAAAACATTTTAATGCTGGCTAAATTTACATTTTATGCTAAAACAAGAGATCCTTTTGAGAGGAGATCTATAGGGTTACTTTCTTATTTGGTTATTAACCTAAATGATGTTATTTTACTGGATTTCATATGTGCACAGACCCTGCTGGGAAAGAATAAAACTGGACTCATTTAGGAAGAGGCAATGTGGTTATATGGGAAAAGCTGCCATATGTGAAATCTCACTTTATGCCTGTTGAAATTTTTGTATTTCAGGTCTCCTAGGGACATGTCCATTGTGCTATTGTGTAATTTTACCAGCATGAACTTCTGCTGAATATTTTCACTTCGCTTTAAAACTCCTATTTTGGTAGAGCTAACTTCAAAACAATGCTACAACATCTGTGCCCACACACCTGGGAGCCATCAAAGATATATCCTTTAGATCAAGCATATTTTCTAATCTTACAGGATGCTGTGAAATGAGAGTAAAGGCTCTAGATACATTTTTCCTAGTCTGGAATGTTTCGAAAGGAACCACTTTCAAACTATTTTCTGTTTCCTTCGAAAGATCCTCAAAAGAGAATCAATATTTCTAAGGCTGTAAACAATTTCCTTAGAAATTTAACAGAATATTCTTTTTTTTTTCTGATTAGAGAGGTTCTTAATGCCTATTTGCAACTTTCTATTAGAGACATTATGAATATACACAAAATTCCAAACTATATTCTCAAAATGTTTTAAAATAAGACTGTACAGTAACTATATGAAACAACAGAAAGCTAAAGAACATTCTACAACTTTGAATTTATTTGCTACTTTTAATCTCTGGCTCTACCAATAAATTAATGGCATCTTCTTTCAAAAATAGAAATTAGGGACCTCCCTGGTGGTCCAGTGGCTAAGACTCTGTGCTCCCAATGTAGGGGGCCCAGGTTCAACCTCCTGGTCAGGGAATTAGATTCCACATGCTACCACTTAAAGAGTCCACGTGCCGCAACTAAGACGCAGTGGAGCTAAACAGATATTAAAAATGAAGAGCACTTTATACGCCTGATACATGGATCCACTGCCTCCCAGGGGAGGTGGGAGAATAATCTGGAAAGGAACGAACNGATACCACTTTAGTGGCAGAAAGTGAAGAGGAGCTAAAGAGCCTCTTGATGAAGGTGAAATAGAAGAGTGAAAAAGCTGGTTTAAAACTCAACATTAAAAAAACAAAAATCATGGCATCTGGTCCCACTACTTCATGGCAAATAGATGGGGAAAAAGTGGAAACAGTGACAGATTTTCTTTTTTTGGACTCCAAAATCACTGCTGATGGTGACTGCAGCCATGAAATTAAAAGACACTTGCTCCTTGGAAGGAAAGCTATGATAAATCTAGACAGCAGATTAAAAAGGAGAGACATCACTTTGCCAACAAACCTCTATCTATTCCAAGGTATGATTTTTCCAGTAATCATGTACAGATGTGAGAACTGGACCATAAAGAAGGCTGAGCACTGAAGAATTGATGCTTTTGAAATATGGTACTGGAGAAGACTCTTGAGAGTCCCTTAGATAGCAAGGAGATCAAACCAGTCAATCCTAAAGGAAATCAACCCTGAATATTCATTGGAAGGACTGATGTTGAAGCTGAAGCTCCAGTACTTTGGCCATCTGATCTGAAGAGCCTACTCACTGGAAAAGACCCTGATGTTGGGGGAGATTCAGAGCAAGAGGAGAAGGGGGAGACAAAGGATGAGATGGTTGGATGGCATCACTGACTCAATGGACATGAGTTTGAACAAACGCAGGGAGATAGTGAAGGACAGGGAAGCCTGGTGTGCTTCAGTTCATGGGTCCAAAGATTCAGACACAAGTTAGCAACTGAACAAGAGCAAATTCAAGGCAGAACATATAACAAAGAAGTTATATATATTTTTTTTTGTGGGGGTAGGGATCTTGATTCTACAACTAGGGATGGAACCCATGGCCTCTGCAGTGGGAGCATGGACTCTTAACCACTGGACTGAGGAACGGAGTATTTCCTGTCATATCAGTAAACGAAGGATGTCACAGTCATCAGCAACTGCAGCCACTGCCAACAGCGGGCTGCTGAGCCCCGACAGAACTCAAGAAAGAAAAGAATACCTGCTATCTAGCAGCTACTCCTTGCAGTCACTCTCCATGGTGAGCCCTGAGGAAACTTGGGATGTGAAAATACAGGAAACTGGCAGCAGACAGGGGAGGTGTGTATCAAAGGAATGATTTCAGTGAGCCTAAACTCCTGTGTCTTCTCATACATAGAAAAGTGCCAAATTCCTTAACTCGAGATATCTGGTTTTCCTTTAATTAACAATAATCTTTTGATGTTCAGACTACCTGCCCTTTATTGCAAAAGTTCTATATAAGTTGGCTACCCGCTTTGCCTCTTTGGAGTAGTTCTCTAAGGCACTGTCTCCTGGGCTTGAAGTCCTGAAAATTCCCATTGAGTAAACCGAAACTCTCAACTTACAGGATGTGAATAATTTTTTAAGTTGAGAGACCACCAGAGGAGTCCCTTAACAAAGAAATTCAACTTCAAAGTTGACACAAGCAAGTAGCAGAATTTGATGTCACTTCTTTCTCATGTGCCATCCGTCCATGCGGAGAAGAGGATCGGCAGCGATCTCTACGGGAGAGAACTGAGCTCTTCGGTAACTAGAGGAACGCCGCATGCTAGAGGAGAAACCGCTGGGAGAAGGGCGACAAGTCAGTGTGTGCTGGGCACGGACATTTTCCCTTGTTGGCAAAGTGAAGAAAAGCACAATGAACCAGTTGTTTGATGTTCCTCATTTGCATGTCTTGAAGTACAACATAAAAAGTAAATAATTTCTGCTGTAGACAGATTACACACCCTTGGATTCCTCTCCCTCACCTGGCCTTTGAAAATGCTTTGCTGAAACCCTCCAGGGAGTTTGGGATTTTTTGAGCATAAGCCACCTGTTCTCCTTATATGTCCCTGCAATAAATGTTTCTTTGCTCAGAACTCTGACATTTCCGTTTGTTTGGCCTCACTGTGAATTGGGCACATGAACTTGTGTACAGTAACAAAAGCAGTAAGGCCATGTATCTGTATTTCAAGTGGGGGTTGTATCAATTTTCTATTATCATTGTCAGACATAAAATTCTCCAAATATTTACTTGACCTGCCAGGAACGTGGTGTCATGAGTCTGAACTAGGATTTGTTGTTAGAGAAAAGGTCATTAGACAAAAGACATAGAAGAATATTGTGCTCTAAATGCAGTGGAATGAAAAAAAAAATCTCAAAATCACTAACATGACTTGGTAATTAAACTGTGTCAATGCTGCTGCCAAAAAAGAGTTTGCAATTTGGAAGCTGTACTTACTATTGACCTGATTTTACAATTGAGATCATGTCTGCATTTTCATTTGGAAACAAAATTGATCACTGTGTTCTCTAAACAAGGCCTGTCAAGTTATTACTCTGTAACTACCTTGCAAACACATATTTAAGAATGGTATGATTTATGATACAGTATAGGAGACAAACTATTTTCTTTTTGACTTCCCATTCTTAGCTCCTTTTAAATTCTTTAAGTTCTTTAATAAATTTCTTTGATAAATTTAAAGATTTTTTTAATGTCCACTTTTAATATATTGGCTTCTTGCCCCAAATGCTACATTAAAATTTACAAAGTGACCATTCCGCTAATGTTCTCTGAAATCATTATAATGCTCACTTATTTTTTTTTACCAGTGCTCAAAATTATTGTATCCTAATATTAGTGGACAAACTTATAATTTAGAAGGTTCATACAATGCATGTATTTTATACAAATTGCTTCCTTAATCACTACCATATGAAGGATGACAGAATGAAATCAATAGAAAATGGTTAATTTAGTTGTTTTAAAGTCATTTCAGATTTTCTAAGACTTTTATCCATCTAGTTCATAATATCTGTTTCTTAGAGGTTTTCTCAAAACTATAATTTAAAAAATGAATCTAAATTAATAATAAAAATATCCTCATACTCCTTGAAAGAATGAAAAACTGTTACAAGTATCTTCTTTCACTACTTCTGGATTTAATGTTACTTTCAAAAGTAAGTTCAGAATTAAAGAAATATTAATTTTGCCCCTTGACAGTTTGCAATTGAATGAGGATAATGCAGATGGTTGGATTCTAGGCAGGAATCCAAAGAAACTCTCTATTCTTGACTGGGTAATTTAAGAGCAGTCCTACCTTTTTCACCTTCACTTTCTTCTTGGTCGTCTGTCAGTGGGGTCACTTCTGGGTGCTCCACGATCATGGCCTCTTCTTGGTTTGATGAAAGCTCTAAATAGAATGGGACAGAAGGAAGCTCAGGGATGTTTTAGCTGGAATGTGTGAGAAAGCAGTGACTAAAGCTCAGAAAGGTAAAGTTCCTTTTTCCCCTCCAAGTTTCAATGGTCACATAAGGAGACCACTAGAGCCACTCTCCAGAATCACCGCCTAAAAGCATACATGCACTCTGTTCACACACACCAGTTATGTACCGAAGTCATGACAGCGTCATCTCATGCTCAGATAGCAATATATTCTGCTTTCAATACCTTCTGTTTCCATGTATGAACTCTGCGACTCTGCCTCAATTTTTACTTCATTCTTCGTTGAATCATTCTCTTGCCCTGTTAAGAACAGTGATTGAAAAATAAATACGATATGGATGGCTAGAGCTTTATCCCTGGTTTGAAAAGACAAACATTTCAGAAACCATGCTTTGATTATGCCTGGAGAGGTAGAGAACAGTTCTGAACCAAAGCAGAAGGTGAATATCTCATTTTGTAAATTATCAAATTTATATCGATTAGTCAATGAGAAATATCCAGATAATGTAGACAAAAACCTTTCCTTTGAAGTGATTGGTGTAATCAGTATTTAGCTTATCAATACACTGAACATCAATGAATACAAACTGGAAGTTGAAATTTTGAAGAATTTCTAGATTGCGTGGGTTAATTATATTCAATTTCTGTTTATTATATAGATCTTTCTGTACTGAGGATTCCTAGGAAATTAAACTACTACTTGTATTTTCATTCTCCCATCAACAGAGCATAAAGAAATGAGTAATATCAGCACACAGGGATGGGGGTCACCTAAGAGCTCAACCATTCTCATAAAACACTGACTAAATGCAGCAAAGGTCAGGAGGGAATTCAGCCAACTCTTGATTACTCCAAGGCTGATTATCTAGGAAAGCATTTTCTCCCTCACCCCCTTGGGTTCTCCTCGTCTCCCCTGTGGAGTTCAGAACATTTAAGAGCTAAGAGAAGAAAATGAAATGTCCATTTTGCATCATATTAATGAAATATTTTATGCTAAGGATATTTAACTGTTATATTAAAAAAAAAAATTCCAGAGCTAGAGGTTACAGATAAAAGCTGAAGCAGAGGTTCTTGGGCTCTTAGCCTACATATGTCCCTAAAGGAAATGCATCATTTTCCCAAGTTGTCTCTACTTCTGTGAAAAGATCCTCTTTCCCTGCCTGAGACCATGTGACCTGCAGTGGCTCCTATGAGACAAGAGTAGGTACCCAGCTCACCTAAACAGAATATAAAGTCTGTGCTCTTTAGTATTTTACTTTATGTTTTCTGTAAGAGTAATCGTTGCCACCACATGTATCAATTGTCTATTCTTTATCACTGATGTATATTATTCCATTGTATGAATATGTGTCAGTTTGGGGCTAAATGAATAACACTGTTAAAAACATTTTTGTGTATGTCTTTTGACGGACATACGTATTCATATCACTTGGGTATAAACCCAGGAGTGAAATGGTTAAGTAAGAGGCAACACATATGTTTAGCTTGACTAACTCCTGAAATACAGTGTTCTGAAGAGTTCGTTCCATTTTATAGTCTCACCAGAAATGGATGAGAATTCCAACTTAGACTATGTCTAACTGGACTATGTCATGATACAAAAGCCTTTTTTTCTTTTAGCTACACCACACAGCACGTGGGATCTTAGATTCTCCAGCCAGCGATCAGACCCGTGACCCTTGCATTGGAGACGTGGAGTCTTAACCCCGGGACTGGACCTGTGCTGTGTGCTAAGTCGCTTTAGTTGCATCTGACTCTTTGCAACCCTGTGGACTGTTACCCTTGCTGCTCTAGTCATGGGATTCTTCAGGCAAGAATACTGGAGTGGGTTGCCATTTCCTCCTCCAGGGGATCTTCCTGACCCAGGGGTCGAACCTGCATCTTATATGTCTTGTGCATTGGCAGGCGGGTTGTTTACCACTAGTGCCACCTGGGAAGCGTGGAGTCTTAGCCCCTGGACCACCAGGGGAGTCCCCAAAGTCTTTACATGGGGCAGAAAAGTCTTTATTCTGTGGCAGAATCTTTATCCCCCAAAATCATTTCCATCCTTTTCACCTCTGGGTAGCATACAAAGTGATCACATTGAGTTCTTCTGCCTATTTATTTATGCTATTTATTCACCTATTTATTATTCTCATCACACTGTCACATAGCTGTATCTGTGTTCGTTTCCCTTATCAGGCTATAAGCACTGTGATGTTAAACATTGTTTTATTCATATTTCTCTGCCTAGTGTGTGCACATGCTCAATTGCTCCATTGTGTTTGTCTCTTTGCAATCCTACGGACTATAGCCCACCAGGCTCCTCTGTTCATGGTATTTTCCAGCAAGAAAACTGGAGTGAGTTGCTGTTTATTCCTCCAAGGGATCTTCCTGACCCAGGGATCAAACCCATGTTTCTTATGTCTACCTGCATTGGCAGGCAGATTCTTTACCATTGCATCTGGGAAGCTTCTCTGCCTAACACCTACTAATAAGGAGTGATCAATAAATGTTTAATTAATTGGCCCTCCATTATAGTCCTCATCAATGTCAGTAAATAGTAATTAGGGACTGTAACTTACTTCCATTAGCAACAAAGCACTAAGGGTAAGCACTACATGTGCTATATTTATTGCAAAGAATCTTGGAAGAAGAACTGAATGTTTTAGGCAAATCACCATCTCTTTGGGCTTCCATTTCATTATCTTTAGGAAAAAAAGCCCTCCCCACCCTCCAAAAAAATCTCCTAGATACTATTTTGGGCTTCCCTGGTGGCTCAGTGATAAAGAATACACCCACCAATGGAGAAGATGCAGGTTTGATCCCTGGGTCAGGAGGATGCCCTGGAGAAGGAAATGGCCACCCACTCCAGTATTCTTGCCTGGGAAATCCCACGGACAGAGGAGCCTGGTGGCCTACATCCATGGGGTCACAAAAGAGTCCGACATGACTTAGTGACTAAACTACAGCAACAGATACTAATACCTTAGAGTCTACCTTTGGTGTTATATGAGGCTATGTCTCCTGGTAAACTTTCTAGTTATCCCTGACATTTGTCTACTGGGAGGATGATGTTGAGGGAAACTTTAGTCTTGAGTGAGCCTCATTCTCTAACCCCTTTCAGGGATCACAGCCTTGTTGTGAAATCAAGATTGCTAGAAGAAATATTAACAACCTCAGAAATGCACATGATACCACTCTAATGGCAGAAAGTGAAGAGGAACTAAAGAGCCTCCTGATGAGGGTGAAAGAGGAGAGTGAAAAAGCTGACTTAAAACTCAACATTCAAAAAACAAAATCATGGCATCTGGTCCCATCACTTCAAGGCAAATAGATGGGGATAAAGCAGAAACAGTGACAGATTTTATTTTCTTGGGCTCCAAAATCACTGAGGATAGTGACTGCAGCCATGAGAGAGATGTACCAAAACTTCATGAAAAACATGTAAGGAAAACCAAGGCCTGATATTGTCAATTAGGCAAGATCCTTGATTTCTAGGAAAACACTTTATTTGGCCAGTGGTTGTTCAGTGGTAAAAAATCCTCTTGCCTGTGTAGGAGACACAGGCTCTACCCCTGGGTCAGGATGATCCCCTGAAGAAGGAAATGGCAACCCACTCCTCTATTCTTGCCTGGAAAATTCCATGGATAGAGAAGCCTGGTAGGTTGCAGTCCATGGGGTTGCAAAAGAGTTGGATATGACTCAGTGACTAAACAACAACAGAGACTTTTAGCTTGGCATTTATTTTTTCTGAAAATCTCAGGATTCTTAGGACCACCATAAAATTAGGCAGAGTGAAATTTCATACTGTACTTTTACTCAGGGATCTTAGTCATAAAACTTCACTTATAAAAATCTGGCTGAAGCCCGTGTGTCTGTGTTGGACAGATTCCATTTCGAAGTTTAAAATATAAAGCTCATAAGGAGCTTACAGTCTCTATCCATTTTATTACATTAAAATTATCACAAAGTGAATGATTTTTGGCCATAAAGTAACAAAAATCCAATATTTGCAAGCTCATTAATGGTTGCTGTGGCTAGGCCTGAAAGTGAATGTGAAAATGTTACTCGATCAGTTGTGTCTGACTCTTTGTGATCCCATGGACTGTAGTCCACTAGGCTTCTCTGGCCATGGGATTCTCCAGGCAAGAATACTGGAGTGGGTTGCCATTCCCTTCTCCAGGAGATTTTCCCGACCCAGGGCTCATACCTGTTCTCCTGCGTTGCAGGCGGATTCTTTACTGTCTGAGACACCAAGGAGGCCAGCGGCTTGGCCTATTTCTCACTACATATTATTAATACACTAGCAATGCATTTCTTGGGATTCCCAGGTTGTGTTTGTGGTAAAGAATCTGCCTGCCAATGCAGGAAATGCAAGAGACTCTGGTTCAATCCCTGGATCAGGAAGATCCCCTGGAGTAGGAAATGGTGAAATGGCGATCCACTCCAGTATTCCTGCCTGGAAAATCCCATGGACAGAGGAGCTTGGCAGGCCACAGTCCATGGGGGTCTCAAAGAGTCGGACACGACTGAGCATCTGAGCACACACACATTACTTACTACACAGGTGTGTGGATACATCCTATTAAAAGAGTAGCAGAACAAAAGCAACTGTTCTTTTCAGAATCCAGTACTTTCAATGGCCACATAAATAGGATGAGAATGGAAGGAGTTCCCTTGTCATGACCTACTGAATTCATTGTATTCTTTCCAAGTTGTGTGTCCCAAGTCACATGGTCATCAGTCATGAAATACCATTTTTAATCATCTGTCACCTGACAACAAAGAACTGGAAGCCAGCCAGCTTGTGAAGGGGTTTGTGAGCTGTAATCGTTCCCCATTCATCAGTATCACTGTTTTCTTTCAACATCACTATTTGAGCTATCACTCTGACACCTGGGAGGAGGTGGAGCCCCATGGCTATGAATCACACTAGGGTTCCCAGTGGGTGTGTCTATCTCTCACAAAGTTGGAAAAGCTTGGCTGCGAGAGGAAGAGTAAGATAGGGAGAGGTGTGTAGATTAACCTGGGGGTCAGTGCAGAGGGAAGATGATGATCTGAAAATTCTCCAAGTCTACAAACCCTGGTGAAAGCCACCATGTTTCTCCAAAAGTATGTTTCGGCCGTGTTATGGACAGCTGTTTTGAGGTGTGTTGGTANGTGATGCTTCCTAAGGCCCACTTGACTTCACATTCCAGGATGTCTGGCTCTAGGTGAGTGATCACACCATTGTGATTATCTAGGTCGTGAAGATCTTTTTTGTATAGTTCTTCTGTGTATTCTTGCCACCTCTTCTTAACATCTGCTTCTGTTAGGTC